TCCTGTACTTTATGGGGACATGCACTTAAAAAGTAACCCCCTAAAGATCCAATTGGAGGTTTGATTTACAATCCCCATGGGATCCCCAAGTGCCCCCTGGTGATCCTCAGATTTTGCTGCAACCCCTCACACCTTCACCTCCGCTTACCTCCTCGGGTCTCAGAACACATCCCACCCCTCCAAATTATTTTCCCCCTGTTCTGTGCCTACTCTGTCTGACCCGAGCTGCCTCTAATTCTTACCATTTCCCTGTTATTGTGGAAGCCCTACCCCAGTCCTCACCTGCCCGGCCCATGAGGCTGCAGGAGTCACTCCCAGGTGTTCCACTTCCATCTTCCTGCGCTGCTCAGAGTGGTCCTTTGAGTCCCACTATATTAAATTTCCCCAAAATCTAATCCCTTGTACCGTTCATCACAGTACTTCTCTGCTCAAGAAATTTAGTGATTTTCTGTTGTCCAAAAAAAACCCAAAAAAAACCTAACCTCAACTCCAGGCAGTTTCCAGACCCTCTTTCATCAGCCCCCCCGCCTTTCCAGCCTCACCTTGCATCACTATTCAATCTAAGGCCATTCTTTTAGGCTTAAACCCACCTCCAGGCTGTTCTGAAACCCCCTGCATCTCCCAAGGACTAGGACTGATGACTAGAGTACCAGTAAGATCAGGTCTCTGCTTCGGGTGGAAGGACAGGCAGTGCTACCAAGGTAAGCCCCCTTCCCATGCCCTTACCACTCCCGCCTCACCCACTTCCTTCCGGCCACACAGGCTTGCTTTCTTCCTCCAACGTGGTCATGCTCCTGTCTCAAGGCCCGGGTGTTTGCTGTCCCCTGACTCTTGAAAGCTCTTCCAATGTGACTTGGGTGGGGATCACTTTGCTCCCACTCCGTGACGTATTTCCATGAAGCCGCCTCTGACCTCTCTAAATCTGCACTTCCTGCTGGGGCAATGGCTAGCGTCTATAATCCCAGTTACTCTAGGCTGAGGTGGGAGATTTGCCTGAGGCCAAGAATACAAGACCAGCCTGAGCAACACATGGAGATCTCATCTCTAAAATAAAAAAATAATCCATTGTGGTGCCTCACACCTGTAGTCCTAGCTTCTCCAGAGACTGAGCTGGAAGGATCAATTGCACCCAGGAGTTTGAGCCAATAGTGAGCTATGACAGGCAATCCACTCCAGCCTGGGCAGCACAGGGAGATCTTGACTTTAAAAACGAAAAGTTTACTTCCTATCCCCTTCTCTGGCCTTTTCCCATAGGAATGAGCCCCTCTGAAATACTGTATTTTACTTGTTCATTTGCTGTTCCCCCTGCCATCTGTTTGGTTCGATGCTGGCCCCCCAGCACCTAGGACCCTGCCTGGGTCCAGCTGAACTGTTTACAAGTGTATTGTGTGCTCTGATGGATGCCAGCCACTGGAGGCTCAGCACCCAGAGAGAAGCCCGACCCCAGCCAGGGTTTCCCGGTGCCGATGCTCCGGTTTTAACTGGCGTCATCCACTGGCAAGCTTTGCCCACAAATCCTCTTGGATCAGGTGACAGCAGGAGAGTGAGTCACTCGGTGCAAACTTGTCAGCCTTTCAAGACATATATCCAGCTACAGCTGACCATCTGTAATCACCACAGCAGGTCCAAGTCGGCCACTCTGTGGCCCTCCCTGAATCCACAGCACTGGCCTCAGGACACAGGCTGAGACACTGGAGGGTGAGAGGCACCTCTCCCCACAGGGGACATGTTCTCCCATCCCAGCCACCTCCATCCCTGCTGGGCACGTATCCCTAAAATGTGTATGTGTATTCCTAAATGGTGGTTGGCCCTTGGACATGGACTTGAACTGCATGGGTCCACTTACATGCAGACTTGTGTCAATCAATATATTGCAAATTTTGGGGGAGATTTTTCAACAATTTGGAAAAACTCAGATGAATTGCATAGCCGAGATATATCAAAGAAGCTAGGTATGTCGTGAATGTATAAAATACATGTAAATACTAGTCTGTCACTTACTACGATAAACTATGCACATATATTATTAAAGGGTAAAATTTAACAAAACTTACCTACAGCCCATACACGGCACCATTCTCAGTCAAGTGAAATGTAAACAAATGCAAAGATGCAGTCTTAAGCCATAACTGCATAAAATTAACTTCAGTACATAGCGTACTAATGTTCACGTAGCCACTTCCTGTTATTGTAGTGAGCTGGAGTGTTGCAAACATCTACCTAAAACGTGTGATAGTAATCATCCCCACAGGAGCAGTGCATATCCAGTAAATCTGGTATCCCAGTAAAAAGTGATCTCTTGCAGTTTTTGTGGTATTTTTCATCAAGCTTAGTGCAATTCTGTAAACCTTGAATCACACCACGGGACCCATGAGTGCCATCCCTGATGCTGGACGTGCTCCCAAGACGCAGAACAGTCATGACATTGCAGGAAAAAGCTGAATTGCTGGATATGTGTTATAGATTGAAGTCTACAGCTGTGGTTGCTGCCATTTCAGACAGACGGTTCATCTCGTATGTAAGTAAAAAACTTAGATACAGTACTACTGAAATACATTTTATCTTATTTTTCTCTAGCTTACTTGATGATAAGAATACAGGATATAATACATACAACATATAAGATATGTGTTATTCAGCTGCCTGTTATCAGTAGCGCTCCCAGTCAAAAGCAGGTTATTACTAGTTGAATTCTGGGGGAATCGAGTTATGTGCACCTTTTTTATTGTATGGGGAGTCAGCATCCCAATCCCTACGTTGTTCAACAATCAACTGTATATACTACAGGTTGAACCATAAGAAACAGTGGGGCTGGGGCTGGGCACCATGGCTCGTGCCTGTAATCCCAGCACTTGGGGAGGCCAACGTGGGCAGATCCTGTGAGCTCAAGAGTTCAAGAACAGCTTGGGCAATGTAGCCAGACCTCATCTCTACTAAAAACAGAAAAATCAGCCAGGTGTGGTCCCGGCTACACTTCGGAGGCTTAGTTTGGAGGATCACTTGAGCTGGGGAGGCTGAGGTTGCAGCGAGCTAAGATTGCACCACTGCACTCCAGCTTGGGTGACAGAGTGAGACCCTGCCTCAAAAACAAAAAACTGTAGACTATTAGCAATTTCATGTGGTTTAATACATGTAAAACTATGCTAATGGATACATATTATAAAACACATGCTAAGTAACCGTATACCAAAAAGCCTGTAAGAAGATTCTCAATATTACTAATGATCAGGGAAATGCAAATCCAAACCACATCTGCTCATACCCACTAGGATGGCTCCTATGGAAAAACAGAAAACAAATGTTGAAAAGGATGTGGAGAAATCAAAACCCTTATTCACAGTACAGCGGTTCCTCAAAAAAACCTAACTATAGAATTACGATGTGATCGGCCAGGTGCAGTGGCTCATGCCTGTAATCCCAACACTTTGAGAGGCTAACATGCTGGATCACCTGAGGTCAGGAGTTCGAGACCAGCCTGACCAACATGGTGAAACACTGTCTCTGATAAAAATACAAAAAATTAGCCAGGTGTGATGGCAGGTGCCTGTAATCCCAGCTACTCAGGAGGCTGGGGCAGGAGAATTGCTTGAACCCAGGAGGCAGAAGTTGCGGTGAACCAAGATTGCGCCATTGCACTCCAGCCTGGGTAACAAGAGCGAAACTCTGTCTCAAAAAAAGAAAAAAGATTTACTTTTTTGTATGATCCAGCAATTCCCCTACTGGGTATATATTTAAATGAATTGAAAGGAGGGTCTTGGAGAGCTATTTGTACATCCATGCTCACAGCTGCATTACTCACAATGACCAAGGGGGAAGTAACCCCTAAGTATTGTCTGCTGACAGACTGGATAAACAAAGCATAGTATATACATACAAAAAATTATTCAGCCTTAAAAAGAAAATTCTGGCCAGGTGCAGTGGCTTACCTATGTAATCCCAGCACACTGGGAGGCCCAAGCAGGAGGGTCACTTGAGGCCAGGAATTCAAGACCAGCCTGAGCAACATAGTGAGACCCCGTCTTTACAAAAAAAATTTTTTTTAGTCTGCCAGGCATTGTGGCATGTGCCTGTAGTCCCAGCTACTTGGGAGGCTGAGACAAAAGGATCACTTGAGCCCAGGAGTTTGAATCCAGCCTGGGCAACAGTCTCTTAAAAAATAAAATTCTGACACACGCCACAACATGAAGACACTAAGTGAAATAAGCTAGTCACAAAGTGACCAATACGGTATGATTCCAGCTGTATGAGCTGTCTAGCCAAATTCATAGAAACAGAAAGTAGAATGGTAGTTGGCAGGGAATTGACAAAAGGGGGAAACGCAAAGTTTCAGTTGCACAAGATGAAAAAGGTCGAGATTTGTTTCTCAACAAAGTCAAAGTCAATACAGATATAAACTACTGAGCCGGACACTAAAAGCAGTTAACACAGTAAATTTTGTTATGTGTATTTTGCTACAATTAAAAACTTTTAAAGTGAGTAGCCCTTCAAGGAGAAATAAAAAAGTTAAAACAAACATGGCCAGGTGCAGTGGCTCCTGCCTGTGATCCCAGCACTTTGGGAGGCCAAGGTGATGGATTGCTTGAGTCCAGGAGTTTGAGACCAGCCTGGCTAACACAGTGAAAACCCGTCTACTAAAAATACCAAAAAAAATTAGCCGGGTGTGGTGACATATGTCTGTCATCCCAACTACTTGGGAGGCCAAGGTGGGAGGATCTCCTGAGCCAGGGAAGTCGAGGCTGCAGACAGCCATGATTGCACCACTGCATTCTAGCCCCAGCCACAGAGTAAGACCCTGTCTCAAACGAAAAACAAAACTTGTGCTCTGTCATATGGAAATAAGAAATCAATTATCTAAATTCTGTAGCTCTGCTATTTGCTTGTCGCAGCCCATGGCATCCTCTTGAAAACTGCCTTCTCGGAGGCCAAGGCACCCAGCAAGGCTCAGTCCCAGTCCCTTCCCAAACTCCAGCTTGAGAATTCCCAGAAAGGGCCACCTCAGCCACTTTTCCAATTGTGTTTTATTCCAGAACAAACGGTTTTACACCAAAGCTGATCTTAAGTAGTACATTTTCCCACTGATAACAGCACCATCTTCTTTCAGCCCCAGACCAAGGGATCGAAGCTATGCTCAACTGAGTTTCACATTAGCTACCGACTTTAAAAAAATCCAGAACCAAGTCCTGGAGCCAGGCCAGATGTGGTAAGACTCAGCCAGCCCCTTTCTCTGTGCTGTCCTGATAGGGAGGGAGCCAGTGACTGGACAATCTAGAACCCTGTTTGTGGAACGCGGGGCTTCAGCTGAAGGTGGGGTAGTGTGACGTCAGCACTGTTTCTACCTCCCTGTCCCCTGTGCTGCTTTGCTCTGTTGTCACCTCCCAGTGTTGGGACCCTGACCAGAATCCACACCTGCACCTGCTGGCCACAGACAAGACACACGGATAACCGTGACCCTCCCTCTGTGTCCTCACCAGGCCAGTGCCCCACCACTGCTGGAAACAGCCAAAAGCCGGAGCAGCTCTGTGTGAGCCACAGCTGTTCAGCCTGTGGACTCGGGTTATCCTGAAGAGGTTCCAACAAATCCTCGAAGAATAAACAATGTTGTGGCCCTATTTTGGGCTTAAAAAATAAAGGAAAAACAAAGCTCACAGTGGCTGTGGCTCACCACGCGCCAGGCACCGTGTGAAACGGTTTAGATTTAGTGCTCATTACAACCCTGCGAGGTAAGCCGTACCACCATCCCCATTTTACAGACGAGGAAACAGCAGGCTCAAGAGTGACGCCCCTCACTTGCCTAAGGTCTCAGAGCTAAGTGACGGCAAAGATGGGGCCCCAAGGTCTGTGTGACCTGAGCTCTTGGTTACCCAATACTTCACAGCTGTCACTTAGGAAACAAGAGAACATTTTTAGAAATAGGAGAAAACCCATTAGCCACAGTGATTGTCAATGAGCTGAGGGGGCACCAGACCAGGTTCAAGGCCACTGCTTCCCTGGCAATGCCCCGCCCCACCCCAGGAGACACACAGATTCCACTCCCTGAGACGAGTGGCCCTGCTCTTAATAAAGGTCAGGCACAGTTCTGCACAAAGGCCCAGAATTCAAAACGCTGTCTTGTGTCTCTGCATTTGCTTAAGTGCCTAGTACTGGGTGGACTGGGGAAATCCCTGATTTGGGTCAAAATAAATATGCTGGGTCTCGTCCAAAGCTCACCTGCCGTCCCTCCTCCCTGAGCTGGGCCTGGGGTCTTCTGTTGCCAAGCATGTGAAGGGGCCAGCTCCCCACAAGAAGCATGTGAACTCTGCTGTTCCACTGTAGCCTAGCAGGGAGCTGACAGGCCATGAGGAGCGGAGTTCCTACTTCGCCGGAGCTCCAGGTCAGGGAGGGGGAAAGAAATGTCTCCTTTAGGACTTAACTCTTTAACTTCAGGGCATATTTGTTCTGAACCCAAAACTGAGTGGAGGAAGAGGTAGACCACAAAAGAGAACTTTACCCCCAGTCATTGAGCTGGGGTAAGGGAGCTCCAGGATATTGACATCCCCACCGCCCATCCCCAGAGAGGGCGATATGATCCCTTTCAGTAGCACAGTGTGACTCAGGAGATCTGGGGGGGTGGGGAAGGCCGCGACAACCGGGGCGATCAGTTGCCACATTCCCTACTCCTGCTGGGCCCTGGAAGATGGTCCACCTGACATCTCCATGGAGCCAATAAAGTGCCATTAGCAAAACCACAGGAGTCAGGAGAAAGAACCAACAGCCCTGGAGAGATGGCGGGCTATGCTGTGAGCGGACGGGGTCAGCTTAACAGATGACTCAACATCTCTGGCCCTGGGGCTGGCTCACTGCATCCTGCCCCACTCTACCCAAGAAGGAGTGCCTGCTGCTGTCCTGGCCCCCACTTCCTACCGGCCACATGGGCAGACCAGCCAGGGAGCCCCACCCCCTTCTCAATCCCTTCTGTCCTGTGCTTCCCCATCTCCGCCTCTGCTGCCGCGGGCCGGGTCCTCGGGCCAGTACTGGTCCTCCATGTACTGCTCCATGTCTGTGCTGCTGTCATGTTCTCTGTCCTCAGGGCGGGTCCAGAGGCTGCAGGCCTCCTGCTGTTCCCACTGCACTTCCACCAGCCGGTACAGCTCCATGGCCGTCGTGGCATCTTCTACTGACGAGTGCCCGTGCTGGCCCACCTGCTGACGAGAGCCAACACATGACTGCCTGGAGCCCGGTGAGACGCCTGCTGCCCCAAGAAGCGAGGCCAGTTTCCCAGTGCTCTGTGCAGGCCCGAGAACACGTGCGCTCAGAATGGAGGTTCACAGAAAAGGGAGGGAACCTCAACTGCATCCCACAAGCCATCCAGCTTCTCCAAGCCTGCTTTCCTCCAATATAAGGCGTGCTAAAAATCTCTTACTCCAAAGGCTTGCAGACCAGATGAATAATAAATGTGAAGCCCAGCAGGAGCAAGAGGTACTGGCTCCTCCTGATCAAAGGCTGTGTGTCTGGGTGTAGGGGATGAGAGACCATCCTTCAGGGATGCGGGGACAGAGCCAAGAGTTAGGCAGGGGACAGATCTGGAGGAGATCGGCCTGGGAGAATGTGTTTTGAGAGAATGGCAGTACACACTGGGGAAGAAGGATCACGGGGAGAAGCACCTGGGGCTGCATGTACAGGTGGGACACCCATTTAGGCAAGCTCCCTGGACCTGGACTGGGGAAGAAAGAATGCCAGGGAGGCCAGGCGGGCCTCCACGCCTTCAGCCACTCTCCTGCCACGCACCTGGATCCTCTTGTGCAGCAGCTGCAGGGCCAGGTCCTTCAGAGAGACCCGGGCCCGGGTGTGGAGGCCGGGCTGGCTGAGGAAGTTGGGGACATAGGTGGTGTCCCGGGTCTGGCTCCGCGGGTGGACGTACTTGAGGGCCTGGAAGTCGTTGTGCAGTGCATGCCCCACCACCACCTTGCCCTTCAGGAGCTTAACGATCTGTGAGCAGAGAGAGGAGTCAGGGAGGTCCCCCCCGCAACAGGCTGGCAGGAGACATGCCCCGGGATCCCCTGGCCAATAGGTGCACGGATCCCTGTGGAGGGAGGAAGCACAGAGCGGGGAGATGATAAGCTCCAGTCAACCATGCTGCCCGAGTCTGAGCCCACGCCCTTCTACTGACTATACGCACGGGCGTACCTAAGTCCTCAGCACCTGTCAAAGGGGAGCGCGGCCAGCAGCATTCCGTGGGGCAGCTGTAAGGACTAAAGGAGGTCATGGATGGAAGTCTTCCTGCCACTAGGTACAAGCAACTCTACGGCTGGCGTAGGCTCCCAGCCTGGAAGACACCCCCAGGTCACCACACCTCCCACCCCGCCTAGCCGCTCCCCAGGTCCTACCGTGCTGCAGGTCCGGGCTTCACTTTACCCCCTCAGGAGGCCTTCCCATGACTCCCCCATCTACATCAGGACCCCCGCTGCTCTCTGCATTTCATACTCTCTCCTTCAACAGCAGTCACACTTTCTAACCAGCCTCACCCCCACTGTAAGGTCTGAGTGAGGGACCATGTTTGTTTGACTTGATTACTGATGCTAGGAACGCATCACATTTCTTCTTCTTTTCCATGCCTATCTCTTTCATTTACTGATTTATTATTTACTTATCACAGGAGGTGATCAATATCAATAGAGACCAGCTGGGTGAAGTCAACAGAACCGTGCCTGTCGCTGGTAGACACACCATAAGCAACAGCTCTTGTGAGTAGTCAGGGACATAATCCCTGTCTTCAGGACTCTGCCCCCTTGCCCCGCTGTGTGCCAACTCCTCCCCACCCTCTTAACCTGCTCTCCTGCTCAGCTCTGGCCGCCTGGACAATGTGTTCCTCCCCTCCCTGCCAGCTGCCGTCCCCACACACCAGGGAGGCCACGTCCAGGGCCATGGGCCAGCAACCCCCTCCAGCCCTCTTAGCCAGGCTTGGGCTTCCCTTATCACCAGCTGCAGGCCTCCACCGCCCACCTCTGCCGGCAACACACGGTTTATCCCGAAACCCAGCATTCAATGCAGATGGATGAGATGCATCAAGGCTTTACGGTAGGTGTGTGCCACCATGCTGGTCACCCAGCACGCTGCCCCTCCCCGCAGTCAGCCACGAAGCGGAAGGAGATGAAGCATACCCACACTGGTCCAGAGTCTGGGCAGACAAAAAGTGGCCCGACTCTTGGGAGCCCACCCACCCGGTCAATGGAAGGCACCAAGGAGCTGGAGGGTTCACCACACCTCCCCTCCTGTTGCTGCTCTTCCTGATCTGCCTGGTTGCTGTATAAAATAACCTCCAGCCATTCAAAGGAACGCTCAGGCCGGTATTTCCCAACCTCGCCTCATCCCAAGAATAACCCAGAAGTGTTCAAAAGCGGCTCTGTTATAAGGCTTGTGTAGAAAGAGCCCATGTGTCTCAATGCAACTGATGGATGACACATTTTGAGAACAACGCAAATTTCACCCCTGCTTATGCTTAATTTCATCCCTGAGAAACACTGAGTGAACGCGGAAAACTGCACCCAGCTGAACTGAGCCAGGAGGGAGTACACAATACGCACAGCCCAAACATCACCCGGCAACCCGGTTCACCCACGTGATGAGCCACAGCCATCCACAGCGGGTGCTGCACTTCCTGTCTGACTTCAGAGAACTCCTGACTACTCAGTAACTAGCTGCAGGTCCTCTTCCAGGTGAAGTGCCATACTTACTGGTGTACTGTGCATTTCTGAACCATTTCAGATGTGTGGAATAAGAAAAAAAAAAAAGAAACATGACGTGTAAAACTGGACTATCATTTTTATTTGGTTTCTATCTTTTTATTTTTGGGGTGTCACTGACGGTCTTTATCCCCTTCCTCCATTTCCCCGTAAGCCCTGTGGCTTTATGGTGCACGTCTGCAGTGTGATGATTTTAACGGGGTCCAGGTCAGAGCCCTTGCCAAGCCTACTGGATCAGTCTCTATGGAGGGGACTGGGGACAAGGATCCTAGATTGTTGAAAAGGCCTTACGTGTTTCCTGAGGTCAAGTGTGTTTGGGAATTCCTGGTACATCAGTATGGTCCCAACCACTCATTTAATTTTTTCTAAGCACTAAGAAATTAACATGAGGAAATACGCCAAAATATGAATACTTGAACGTGATGTCACTGTGGGCTTTACAAATTTTATATCAACGCATACAACTTTATAACAGAAAGCAAGCTCTGAAATGTAAGCTGTTCATCACCCTACAGTTGGTGCAGCCTTTCTACACTGTCCTGTGCGACAGGCCAGCAATCCTTACCCGCAGGCAGGGTCGGGATTTCATTTTTCTTCCCCCTATTCTCTGGAGAAGGAACCTATTGATTGGAGCAGTTAGGTGACTTTCCCAAGGTTTGCTGCCCCCAGTGCGGCTAAGTGGTGACTCAAACCCAGGGTGGCTCTTTCCAGCCCACCACACCTCCCAAACAAGTCCCCACCCTGCCCTTACCTCTTTCTGGGCCACCTGGAAGGGGATGGCCTTGCGCATGTGCTGGCGTGTGATGCCACTCCAGCGAGTACGGTAGTCAACGACGGGCATCTCAGGCCTGATGTACTTGTCGTAGAGAACATCGCCATAATAACTCACCACGGAACAGCGGGCCAGCTCGCTCACCCGCCCTCGGGGTCCCGTGCCCACCATCTCACAGTCAATAGCCACACACTTGCTGGGCCAGGGCCCTGAGGCTTTCCTGGGGTCAGGCCTCCTGCTGCATGCAGCAGCACCAGAACCAGCCCTTGGACACTGCTTCCCACTGCTGGCAGCTTCAGGAGCTGGCGCCGCCCCCAAAGGTGTGGGCAGTGGGGAGGACCCTGGTTCTGGAGGCATGCTCAGCAGCCCCTGCTCCTGCAGCAAGGCCTTCCGGGCCATGAACCTCTGGTGCTGTCGGCTCCTTCTCTTGTGCCTTCTCCGAAGCACATCCTTGGCATTGGGGATGGTGAGGGAAGGGCACAGGCACTGAGCAGACTCAGGGGCCTCCCGGGGCACCATTCCAGTCAGCTCACTGCTTGGGGCAAGGGAAGCCTGGGTAGTAATCTTCCAACGGGGCAGCAGCCTGGAGAGAGAACACACAGGTAGAGGGGCTGGGTGAGGGTGTGCCAGGCAGCCCGCCCACCCTCCTCCCTGCGGTGCTCCCAGAGCCCTGCACTGTAGCTGGCGGCTTCCACATTGAGTCGAGGACCCATTTCACCAATAAACGCACTCATACTGTAAACACATGCAAATCACCGCACTACACAGCATCACTCAATCTGCTCAATGACCTGAACAAACATTATCATCTTCATTTTCCATGTAAGAAACTGTGCCACAGAGGTGAAGAAACCTGCCCAATGAGCAAAAGCCAAAGGCTGATAGGAACCCAGAATCCACAGCCTCAACCTCAAACCATGATCAAGTCTTTTTCCGCTGTGATTTTTAGCTAAGGAAGCATCAGACTTTGACAGTGTTATGGTTACAGGAAAATAAAGATTACAGAAACTGTATAGCCCTTTCTAAGAAATCTTTTTTTGAAATACGAAGACACAGATCCTTAGCAGAATCTGGAGAAGAAATTTCACAGGAAGCCCCCAGTAATCGTATTTTTGTGTAATATGTTGACCAAATGTAACTTTTTTTTTTTTTTTTTGAGATAAGGTCTTCCTCTGTCACCCAGGCTGGAGTGCGGTGGCATGATCACAGCTCACTGTAGGGCTCAAGTGATACTCCCACGCCTGGCTAATTTTTTTGTATTTTTAGTAGCAACATTGCCCAGCTGGTCTTAAACTCCTGGACTCACACTTTGGCCACCTAAAGTGCTAGGATCACAAGCATGAGCCACCGTGTCCAGCCTTTAAATGTAATTTCTTTACCAGACTTTGTAGTTCATTAATCACCACAGCATCTACAAACATTTAGAAGTCCTAATCTGAAGCACTTGCAGATTTCTGTGGCGGGATCCCACCCAGTGAACTGCAGGCCCTCATCACCGAATGCCAGGATAAGAGAAGATCTTGCACACCGCTGCTATATATTGGATGTTCATGTGAGTCTGCAAAATCCAGCATCTTCCCAACAGCCAAAGCCATAGCTTGAAAAGCCTATTTCATTTGTTATGCCAAGTCAGTACCTTTTTAACAGATCAAACAAACTAGCGCTTTGAAGTCAGGCAGAGCTGGGTTTAACTCAGCTTTTTTTTTTTTTGAGACGGAATTCTGCTCTTGTTGCCCAGGCTAGAGTGCAGTGGCGCCATCTCAGCTCACTGCAACTTCTGCCTCCCCAGTTCAAGCGATTCTCCTGCCTCAGCCTCTCGGGTAGCTGGGATTACAGGCATGCACCACTACACCTGCCTAATTTTTGTATTTTTAGTAGAGACGGGGTTTCACCATGTTGGCCAGGATGGTCTCAAATTCCTGACCTTGCATGATCCATCTGCCTCAGCCTCCCAAAGTGCTGGGATTACAGGCATGAGCCACGTGCCCAGCCTAACTCAGCTTTTTATAGGTTACCTAAACTGCTGAGTTTCAGTTTTCAGGCACGTAAAATGATCCTACCACCCCCTCTCCTGTGTGAAGAGGAAATGACACAATTATCTTCCTGTATTCTAAACAGTACGCAGGGGCTCAATAACCAACTGCTCCTGACTCTACCCAGTGGTTGCCAGCCAGCTCTTCTCAGGCCACAGCAGCCCCCGCCCGGACACACTGACCTTTCCTAGCCCACAGGTCTTCCTCTGCTCCCTTGCCACTCACAGCCCTCCTGCCCTTTCAGACTCAGCTACTGTTTTGCCACCACCCAGAAGCCCTTCTGGAAGAACCTTTATCTCACTGGGTTGCACAGACCAATGCCACACTGAGGCTCTCCGGGGTCTCCACTGTGCCAGGTGCTGGGCAGCTGCGAAGATGGATCCTGAACTCCGAGAAGTTTCGTCTCACGGCAGAGACCGACACCAAATAGAAGGTGTGTTAAGAGCTAGATTAGAGGAGCTAGGGAGGCAAAACAGGTTTTCTGGAGGCTTCCTGGAAGAGGCTAAATCTGTGTGCATGTAAAATAGCAACCTTCCAGGTGGAAGGGAGAGGAATCAGTGGCCATGTTAGGGGCAAAGGTCTGAAAAAGGAGTCGAGGAAGAGGGCCCACCAGCACCCTGAAGCCACTGGGGTGTAGAGCATAAGGTGGGTCATGCTGGAGGGGCTGCTCTCCTCTCCTTTGTACCATTTCATCTTCTGGTCCCCACTCCGGTGGCCCTTCCACTAGCCACTCCTGCCCCAATCTTGTGTCCCTTGAATTGGTCTCTACAGGCCAAGCAAGCGGGGGAGCCCCAGAGGCACCTATGGAGGTCACTTAAATATCCCACAGTAGCCCTGACCCAGGACATTAACAGTCTAGCTGGGGAGCAAAGAAATTCACCCGTCTGTGCTGAGCTCTATAGCACAGTTAGAGAATTATTACACCCTTCAAAGTCCATTGGTAAACACAGTCTACCACAGAGCTGTCTGAAGGCAGATTAGAGCCTTGATTGTCTCTGTCGCTTCCCCAACAGCCAGCCCAGAAGCCAGCACAGGGCAGGTCCTCTTCAGAAGGGTATTAGAAGAGGTCTGGAGAAGGTGAAAACCTGAGCAATAGCAGCAGAGATGAAGAGCAATGGGAAGTGGGCGGGAGCTGAGGTCAATTGCCAGCTTTGATGATGCCAGCATTTGCATAAAGACTCCCGGCACTCTAGGGCAGGACCCTGAATCCTGACTGACTCAGCCCGACCTGACCCATCCTGACTCATCCATCCATCCTGCTTGCTCATCCCATTCTTTCCAGGAGAAAAGGTCTCTTTTAAAAAGGTTTTAACTGTAACCAACTTCCTCAGATTGACAGTCACATCTTAGAACTGACATATTCGGAACCTCAATTTGCCTCAGCCCAGCAACAGCAGCAAAAAGGCGAAGAAGCCCAATGCCGACCCTGCTAATAACTAATTTGGGAGAGGGGGATGGGAGGTAACCCCCTCCTTTCTCGGTGAAGGGCTGAGGACTAGAGTGAGTGGTTTTCCTGACCCTACTGGCAAGGTTTTAAAGAAGCCAGAAATTAAGATATCTGAGAAAAGGTGTCTATGGCCTCCTACTTCAAGAGATAAAAGCAGTCCTTTTGCAAGCACCCTGACCTGGCTGACTCTCAAAACCAACAATCATCAAGGACACACATCTTTGGGGGCTCAAATGTAGCTCAGTGACGCTGGAGAGAAGTTCCGCTCACATAACACAACCCTTTCATCAAGGACAAATACAAGCTTTTCTCCAGCCTGGACCCAGCACTCTGAGAATCAAACACCGGCCCTTCAGGCAGGGGGTCTCTGGCCTAAAGGAAGGGTCCCAGCTGCAGAGTGAACGGAGCAAAGGCCCCAAAGGAACCACTAAGTCAGAATCCTCAGTGGCATCAGAGCCACCAAACTGCTGGCTGATCAGGAGGGCAGAGGACAGTTCTAGACAGACCTTGCTCTAGCACTAAACCGCCACACGATCTGGGGCAAATCACTGTCCCTTCAAGTTCAGCCGACGGCTGTGAATTAGATCAGGGCTTCCCAAAAGTAGTTAATTGCTGTACCAGAAGACATCTGATAAAAGGGGGATTATCCGGCCCACTCCCAAACCGTGCTAATTGCCGTTTTGGGAAAAGGGGCTTGATAACCTAGATTTTTTGGGGGGTAGGACGAAGTTTTGCTCTTTTTGCCCAGACTGGAGTGCGATGGCACGATCTCTGCTCACCGCAACCTCCCGGGTTCAAGCGAGAGAATCTGGATTTTTTAAAAGAGCGTGCACAACCCTCAAGCCACGATTCCGATAATCGCCCAAATCGGAGAAAACTGGCTCGATAAGGTCCCCTGCGCTGCTAAAAAGCCCACGGCACGACGACAACAAAAGTCTGCTATCCCCGCACGACCTCCCCGCCCGCGGGCGTTCTCCCAGGCGTGGCGCGTGGGCCGCCTGATCTCACCGGGAAGGACTCGGGCGTTGGTCACTTGCTGGCGTGACCGCTGGGCCGAGTCCTAACACCCAGCGCCGCCCCCCGGCCCTGGACCCCGAGAGGAGCGAGCACTGGGGACAGGCGGCGCCCGGCCTGCTTTTCTGCGGGCCAGTGGAGCAGGGTCAGCCCAGCTCAGGCGTCCCCGCCGCGGGCAGCGGCGGACACAGCGCGCGGGGCCTTCACCCGCGACCAGCGGCCTCAGCCCTCCCGACCCCGCCGCCCCCGAGCAGGGTCCCGGATCTCACCGTAAGCCCCACGCGTCTCTTCCGGTCCGCACGTGGCTTCCCGAGGACCGGCGGCTCCTACATGCCCGGGCAAGCCCGGCTCCGACTGCCCGCCTATTGGCTCGCCGGACGGCAGCGCCCGCCCAAGGCCTCTTCTGATTGGCCTAGCCTGCCCGGCGGCGGGGAGGCGGGCGAGAGCAGAAGGGGAGGGACTTCTGAAGGGGGCGGGGCTCGCGCAGGGAGCCCACCACACTGGCGGGAAGCTTTAAAAAGAAGGGAGGGGAGCCTGGCCTCCTCTGGTCCCCGCTGGCTCCCAGCCACTCCGCTCGCTGGGTCGGGATGTGGGCTCCTGTGGGTCTCCTGCCAGGAAAGGCCGGATGACTTACAGAGTACACCCACATCTTCAGATTGGGAACACCAGCCCCAACCTCCTCCGGTGTTCTGGCATTCAGTGAAACAATACACACAGTGGTCACTAACTAAACACCGCGTCAGCGCTACTTTTTCATTTATTCTTTTGCAAAACTTGACTCGTAAGTATTAAGTTCCTACGTGGGCGTGGCAGTGGGATGCACAGTATAAACACATAAGCATCTTGAGTTGATTATGTTACTTTAAAAATGAAGGCCAGGGGCGGTGGCTCACGGTTGTAATTCTAACACTAGGAGAGGCCAAGGCAGGCGAATCACCTGAGGTCACAGGTTTGAGACCAGCCTGGCCAACATGGAGAAACCCTATGTCTACTAAAAATACACAAGTAGCCAGGCGTGGTGGTGGGCACCTGTAATCCCAGACACTCAGGAGGCTGAGGCACGACGATCTGTTGAATCCTAGAGACAAA